CTCCTGTTCAGCTGAATGATGTCGTCCAGAGACATGTCCATTATGTCGGCCATGGCGGGCGCGGAATATGCCTTGGCGTGAGCCCGCGCGTCAGCTCGTTGGTCCCTCACTTTGGGCGCGGAGTCCCAGGCTTGCGGTGGTCGCTTGGCTTCAGGAGCAGCGTGGACAGTGCGCGCTGTGGTCTGGGCTGGTCAGGCTGAGTTGTGAGGTGCCTGGCTGAGGTCGAAGTCGTTTTGGACCTTCCCGCACAGAGTCAGCTCTGGGACTGTAGGAAGGCGGCTCTGCAACTCCAGGTTCTGTCTTTATTCTCCTCCTACATCTGTATTTATACCAGTTGATTTTAATCCTATCCATTCTATTCCAAAGGTTAGGGCGTTTGTTATCTCCATTCCAAGGTCACTACTCCATTGTTCTGTTAAGCTACAAGGAAGTAACTGAAGAAGATTATCCTAAGTAAAGATTATGTAGCTTCAGGGTGATTGTTCCTAGTTAATGTGATTAACTACCCACCTGGCACTTAGTTAAGAGGTTTTACTGATTATTCCCTTCCTTAGTCCTGTGAATTTCTAACTCCAGGGAAAAAATCCCCACCTGGGGAAACAACCTTTCAGGGAGAGGTGACCTTGGTTAAAACACATAGCGCTAAGAAGGGGGAGCAAACATATTAAGAGCAGTATGCCATCTACGCCAGGTCCCTTGAAACCTGAGACACCCTTGAGGAGGAGGGGCCACAGGGCCTGTCACTGACCCTTGTACCCACCCCCTCTCCATCTACCGCATGGATATGGTATCTGGAGGGTGCGTTTCAGAAAGAGAAGAGTTGGGAAAGTAGAAGGCGGCAGTTGCCCCTTCTGAAGAGGAATCCCCAAGTGAGGACTGGACCTCGAGATTCTGTTTCTCTCATCACTGTCATTCAAGTCAGGTCGCCTAGGACTGGGTACTCCACGGTCGGTCGCGTTACCGGCCCTAGTGAAATGGCTGCTAAACGCATAGATAGAGACACGCAGAGCTACAGAACACACTGCTCTGGCTCTTCTCCTCGGTGGACTGCTAACTGCCATCTGACTCATCATGGCTCTGGAACACGGAGGGTGAGGGTTCCCTGTTCCAGCTTAGTTTGTGAACATGAGTTTGAGAAGTCTCTCATCATCGCATAGGGAACACATGGGTCAGTGTTGAGTGATAAGGGTAGCCAGTTGGTCAAGAAGAGTGTCAGAAAGAGGATATGTTGGCATGAAGTAGAACTTGCCGACTCTCCTAAAGTCACGAAGCTTCCCAGAAACACACACCAATGTGCTTTTGGATTCCGTCTCTGGAAAGGCCAAATGGAAATGGGCAGAGAAATAAAACAACATTTTGTGCGTCTGTGTGGTGTGTCTGTGTGTGTGTGTGTGTGTGTGTGTGGTGGAGGGGGTGGGTGTGGGATCGTTTTGCCTTTGGGAGGTGACCCAAAGTGGAAGATACCATCCCTTCAGCACTAGAGTGGGACAGTGGGGCTTATATGCTTTTGCCCCAACTGGGTGTCTCAGAGGCCAGGGGGGCAAGCCTAGCAGAGCGCAGGAGCCCTGTAGACACCACTGGAGGAGTTGTGCTGTGAAGGCTGATGACCCTTTGAAGGGAAACCATGGACCTTGTCATGAAGGGCTCTGCCGCATCCTGCACGCTCAGGGAAAATTGGAATGGGTCTGCTCCCTCCCCATCAGCCTGCTTAGTTCCCCGTGGACAACACCGGCTGTCACTCTGTGCTTGCCCGGGGTGCTGAGGTTCTAGGGATGCTGGGTAAAATGGCAAACCTTTGGATCGCCCCACAAGGTTTGGAAATCAATTCGGGTGCCCTTGGAAACGCTTGCCTAGCACCCCCCTCAGGGCAAGTGTGGGACACCGCACACAGATGCGGACCATGTAATGGCGGCCGCTCCCCAGGTGCTCCTGGCGATTGGGTTTGGTCTCCTGTCTCATCAGAGCCTAGGAGACCACGTGAAAGAAAGACGCCTCAGCGGGTGCCAGACCACTCGGTGACACAAAGCACCGTGGGAAGGAAAAGAGACGTAGACATTTCGGAGACAAGAAGGATTTGTGGATTTTATCTTTATTTGTGCAAGTTAAAACAGGTTCACGATCAGGGAAATAAAACAAAACCAAAGAGAGCAAAACACGGGCTCAAGGTCAGGATTCACAAGCACAGACGTTCTCAGGTCTCCTGCTCTCCCTGCGCCCTTCAGGGAAGAGCGTCACCAATGAAGGAGTTGGCGTGGTGTCATCCCCTCAAGAGCAGCGGGAAGAAGCCGCCCATGTCCCAGCCACCACCGCCAGGCTCCCTGGGAAAGCAGGGCCCAGCCTCGGGAGGGAGAGCCTGCCCTCTGTCCCAGCAGCTCTCCACCCGAGGGTGCGGGCTCCATCCTGGCAGGCGCTCTTCTTCACCGGCCTCTGCTCACCCAGCCAGCTCCAGGCCTCCAGGTGCCCCTCGGCCCACGTGGGGGAGTTTTGAGGAAAACGGGATCGTCCTGGGTGAATGGTCCGCGGAGCAAGGGAGACAGAGGCGCTGCAGCGCCCGCAGTCTCTGCCCCAGGAAGGCCGTGCCCTGGGCCCCAGGCATGCGTCCTAGGGGAACAGGACGTCTCTGGGCTTGACGTTGGGCACTTTGCCCTTGGCGCTCAAGCTGCGCACGGCCTCCCTGAGATGCTGGGGTTGCAGGGGCGGCGTTTCCCCCCCAGCTCCCGCACACGTCCGTCCAGGGCCTCTTACACCACCTCCCCGATGAAGACCTTGGCCAGCCCGGCCCTGGCGATGAGCGCGTTCTGCTCGGTTGGGGTCCAGCCCCAGCAGGTCCAGGGGTTCCCAACGGTGTGGACGCAGTCGGCGAGGAAGGAATGACATGGAGACGGCGTTCGGTTGATGAGCAGCGTAGCCAGGTTCTCCAGCCAGGTTGCCCAGGCCTAGCTGCACGCACGGACTGGCTGGTGCTTTAGCTGGTGTCCATCCTCGCGTTGTAAGCGTCCTCAGGTTCGTGTCAGGTTCGCCATCACTGACCTACATGGTGCTGCTATGTGTTAGTCATCAGGATCATTTCGCCCTTATGACAGGTTCACACCCAGCTGCTGGTTTTCAGTAGAAGTCCTTGTCTGAGGAACTTTCTGTCTCCTGTAACATGCAAAGCTCAGCCTGTTGATCTGCATCTATAGAGAAGCCTAGGTTTTATATGGTGTTTGATTTATTATTCAACTCCCTGTGCTAGTTACTTTGTGAATAGTTTTATAGGGGAAAAGTCCTGGTGAATAAGTGATTCCATTTCGTGTGTCATAAAAACAAGAAAGTGAATGCAATGTTTATGTAGCACAACCTTAACACTAGTTCTTATCTGCCAGGGAAGAATAATAAATACATGTTGATCTTGTAAACATAATAGGGCTGTATTTCAAAGTACTTATGACTGCACATTTGGGAAGAATGACATACCTCTTCTATTTAAAAACACCAGTATGTGTTATTATAGTGTGTAATATGGAAACATGAACCACTCAAGGTTTTGTGGGGGTTTTTTTAACTTTCTTGTTATTTGTATTTTGTTTTTAATATATTTTTTATTGATTTCAGAGAAAAAAGTGTGGACGCAGTCGGCGAGGAAGGAATGACATGGAGACAGCGTTCGGTTGATGAGCAGCGTAGCCAGGTTCTCCAGCCAGGTTGCCCAGGCCTAGCTGCACGCACGGACTGGCTGGTGCTTTAGCTGGTGTCCATCCTCGCGTTGTAAGCGTCCAGCTGGGCATCCAGCTCCTCCGCAGAGATCTGCTGCCTGGAACTCTGGCCGGTGCCCCTGCCTCTGCCCCGGCTGTCTCCGCAGGCGCCTCTGCGGGTGCCGCCACCGAAGCCTCCAGATCCTCGGTTCCTAGTCCTCCCGCCTCTGTTGACACTGGGTCCCGGCCTGCGCTGCGTGTCTCCCTGTGAGGTGACGAGCTGGATGTTCATGGGGCGGCCGTCCAAGGGGACGCCGTGGTACTGCTGCATGGCTGTCAGGGCGTCTGCCTTCCGCTCAAAGTGCACGTGGGCCGTTCCCAGGCTGCGGCCAGAGCGGTCGTAGTGCACGCCGGCCTTCTTCAGAGTCCCGCAGTCCGCAAACAGCTCCTGGATGTCCGCGTCGGACACTGCGAAGTCCAGGTTGGACACCAGCAGTTTGCCTCCCGTCTCCAAATGGGCGCCCGCGCCGAAGCCGCCATCGAAAAGGTCGTGCTGCCACCTGTCGGGAAGCTGTCTGGGCCGGCTGTAGGGTGCGGGCAGCTTCCTGCCTCTGCTGCCCGCCGCTGGCTCAGGTTCATCTTCTGCCTCCGAAATGCAAATTGCTCAGCACCAGGGCTGGCATCATATGTCTCCAGATGCACCACCTGAAATGCGAGAGAGGAAAGCTTCACCTGGGAGTGAGAGGACAGCTTCACCGGTTGCGCCCTCGCTGATGTGAAGGCGAGGCCCCCATCACCTCTTTCTCACCCAGATGCACAGCGTGGCCCGCGAGATGTTCCGTCACTGCAATTGTTGTCCAGGTGGGGAGACTGACTCCTGGTGCTGCCCACTCACCTTCTTCCCAGAATCCTCTGCCCCATCTGTTTTGCTTCCTTCCCAAGAGCTCTTCTGAGCTAGAGAGAGCTGCTGACACAGATGACAAGACAAAATGAAAGAACAGCCAAGTCTGACACTTACACTGGGCGGCCCAGAGGCTGAGCGAGAGAAAGCGCCAGCTCTCCCTTGCTGCTGTTCCCTGTGGGAAGGCTTGCTGGTCCAGGGTGGGTGGGCCAGTGGCAGTCTCACTGCTAAGGAAGCCAGAACAAAAGTCTCCGGCCCTTTAATGCGGTAGGAGAGGGGAAGGCTAGGAGTGGGCAGGGATGGAGTACTGAGTCAGAGTGGAGAAAAATGGATAAAAGATATCTCTTATTAGATAGAGCCAAAGTATTCAGCCCTCTTGACTGGAAAAGTCATTGAGTGTAGTTCTTCTCTGGAAAAATCAAGAGGTGGGGGGAGGAAGAAGCAAGATTATTTACTAGTAAAAGGTCAGAAAGAAAAGAAAAAAGACAAGTCTCAGAAATAGAAAATAATATTTAAAGTGAAACTTGAGTATTGACATTTGAGTAGGACAGAAAAATAAGTCAATTAAGTTCTAGTGGGTATTTAGTTCACACCAGCTGGTTTGTGCTTGCTGTGTACTAACTGCTTCCTGGTCCATATGGTTCTATTTGTGATCAGTCAAATCATGGTGCCTCTTACTATTACAGCTTTTATTTATAGAAAAACAAGGGATTTCTGATATTCAACATCCAGATACAGAAAGCAGACCACAGACTGCTAATTTCACTTTTAAACATCCATGCCATGGTCTTCAAAGAGTTCAATGAAAAGAAAGGTTTTAAATCATTTCGAAGAGAAGAAATACAGAAAGAGAAAACACAACGGGGACCCAGTCCACATGGAAATGGGTTATTTCTTCCATCCTGATGGGCTGGGTTTCACCCATGTTCACCCAGGCCTGGGCTTGACCTGAATTTAGTTTCCCAGTGGCTTTATAGCTCTAAATACATAAGAACTATCATCAGATGAGGAAATGAGAAGCTGTCTGTAACACTAGAGGGCTGTGTAAACCACTCTCTTCACAAACAAGCATTTAAATGGTTAATACAATAATTATCAGTATTATTTACTATTATTTAAGTAGTAGAAAGCCAGTCACTATTATTTTCCAAAATGCCAGGCCCAGCACAAGCTTTTGATTCTACAGTGTAGGAAGCTGGAATGTGTAATTTCCCTGCAGAGCTAATCTTGTGGACTCAAAGAGACTGAGACGCCTGCAGGGAATTCTGGGGATTTCTATTATAGTGCACTGTTTCCTGCTGGCCTTGACCTGTAAGAAAACTGTGGTTTTCAGCTGTTCTAAAAGCTGCTTATAATGGAGTTGGTAAGAAAAACTTTTTCCTTCCAATTTTTTTTTATTGTGATAAAATACACTATACATAAAATTTACCAAATTAACCATTTTAAGCATCAGTAGTATAAATACTTTTATATTGTTGTGCTATCATTTCTCACCTCTCCCCATCCCCTCACAACCACCATTTTACTTTCTGTATCTATGAATTTGACTCGTTGGGTCACCTCAAATAAGTGGAATACAGTATTTGTCCTTTTGTGACTGGCTTATTTCACTTAGCATAATGCTCTCAAGGTTTATTCATGTCAGTAGCCTGTGTCAGAATTAAACTTCCTGCTTAAGGTTGAGTAATATTCCATTGTATGTATATACACATTTTGCTTATCCATTCATCCATTGATGAACACTTGGGTTGCTTCTACCTCTTAGCAATTATAAATAATGCTGCTATGAATATGGGTATGCAAATATCTCTTTGTGACTCTGCTTTCCATTCTTTTGAAGCAATTCCAGAAGTGGAGTTGCTTGAGCATATTATAATTTTATTTTCATTTTTTTGAGGGACTGCTATACTGTTTTCCATAGCAGCTACAATATTTTATGTTCCCACAACAGTGCACTAAGTTTCCAGTCTCCCCATATCCTCACCAACACTTGTTATTTTCTGTTTTTTTTAAAAATTTTTTTTGATTAAGTTATTACATATGTGTCCTTATCCCCACTTTTTTTTTATAGTAGCCATCCTAATGTGAGTGAGGTGGTATATTCTTGTACTTTTGTTTTCATTTTCCTAATGAGTAGTGATTGTGAGCATCTTTTTATGTGCTTATTGGCAATTTGTATATCGTCTTTAAAGAAATGTCTATTTAAGTTCTTTGCCAGTTTTTGAATTGAATTGTTTCTCCTGTTGAATTCTATGAGTTCTCGATCTCTTCTAGATATTAACCCCTTTTTAGATAGATGATTTGAAAATATTTTCTCCTATTTTGTGAGTCACTTTAAATTTTACTCTGTTGATAGTGTCTTTTGATGCACAAAGTTTTTGATTTTCATAAAGTCCAATATGTCTATTTTTTCTTTTGTTACCTGTGCCTTTGGTGTCATCTTCAAGAAGTCATTGCCAAATCCAATGTTGTGAATATGTTGCCCTGTAAAATCTTCTCATTGCCCCGCTGGTGTCTCAATGGGTAAGCATCAACCTATGAACCAGGAGGTTACAGCTCAATTCCTGGGTAGGGCACATGCCGGCATTGCAGGCTCGATCCCTAGTATAGAGGCAGCTGATAAATGATTCTCTCTCAGCACTGATGTCTCTCTCTCTCTCTCTCTCTCTCTCTCCCTTCTTCTCTGAAATCAATAAAAATATAGTTAAAAAAACCACTTTTCATTATCACAGAATCTTAGAATAATTGCCTAACCCAGCTCAAGACCCAATTTAGTAATATCTTTTATTTCATCACTAATCTGGTCACCTGGTCTATGCTTATATATCTCCACGACAAGATGCTCAATACTTTAAAAATTTTTTTAAAAAAATTTATTGATTTGAGAGAGAGAGAGGAAAGGAGAGAGGGGTGAGGGAGAGAGAGAGAGAGAGAGAGAGAGAGAGAGAAACTTTGATTTGTTGTTCCATTATTTATACACTAGAGGCCCAGTGCATGAAATTCATGCATGAGTAGGGTCCCTAGGCCTGGCTGGCGATCAGGGCCAATCTGGTTCACCTGTTTATTAGGTTAGTTTTATTAAAATAAGAAATAGTGAAGAAATATGATCTTAAAAGAAACTGCTAAAATAAATCTGTAAGGCATGTTTTTGAGATTAATTAATATTTAACCAGAAAAGGAATATAGTGCAGTAGTTAAAACCCCAGGTTCAAATCCTTCTCTGTCACTTATTAGCTGTGTGACCTTGGACAAATTACTTAGTCTTTTTGTATATTAGTTTATTTGTAAGATGGGGCTAATCGCATTACCTATCTTATAGGGCTGTTGCTGAACTTTAATTAGGTAGTACATATAAAGTTATTAGGATAGTGTATGTCATACATTAAGTACCCAACACATTTTAGCTGTTAGTATTAACTCAATGATTTACTCTCTGTATTTTTTCTTCCATATAATGATCATTTGATTCATTGGTCAATCAGCAGATACCTTTATTTCAAAGCAACGTCTTTATAATTTTAGTAACATACAACATATATACTTATAGGTTTATAATAAAATTATGTTAGTAATAAGAAATTAAGAAGACTGGTCTTGAAAATGTTTACCAGATAAAAGAACATCAGGTAATTTCTACCTCAAATTTGACATTATCATCACTATTGAGGGTTCACATCAAATTAATTTCTCCAACTATCTTTGTACTTGATTTTCAATATTTTAAGTCATTTTTTTTCATTTTCATCCACAATTATATCACCTGGAATTTGATCCAAAATACAATTGGTGTGATCTTCAGATATCACAGATTCCAACTACGGGATTTGCCTAATGAAAGAAAAACACAAGGTGTGTCTGACTGCAAATGATCAATGAGCAGACTGTACACCTTTTATTTTTGTGCTGTAAATCTTAAACCCCTACCAGATGCAAAATGCAGTGTCATAAATATAGAAAGAAGCAGTCTGTCTCCTCAAAGAACTTCCAATCTGGTAGGAGACATAAAATGTACTCAAAGAGACCTAACACCACAATTCAATAGATTGACTTTCAAATTACTGGCATAGACAGTAAGTGTTTGAAGAGTCCAGAAGAAGCAAGGAAAGAGTAGCTGCACTGGTCAGGGAAAGCCTCCCAAGAGAGGAAGGAACAGGGTGCATCTTCGTGGATGGGTGCAATGAAGTCAGGGTGTGGTGGGCTATTGAAAGGACACGTGCAGGCACAGAGGTAGAAATGCCCAACGCATATGTAGGGATCAGTTGAGCTGGAAAGGAGGCTTTCGTAGGCAAACAAAGAGAAAGCTGAATAGGAGGTCCCGTGGGATCCTGAATAATAAACTGAAAACCAAGTTAAACTATCATGTCAATTAACGATAAGATTCATCAGGCAAACATGCCAATGAAGTTAGATTTTACTGCATATGCTTAAAGATCAGGGTATTGATATTCATTCATAAACTTATTGCCTTGACTCAATTAAATGTTTCTTCCAGAACTTTGTCAGGGAGGTTTTGCTTTTTTAGTGAGTTACTGTTTGTGAACAAAAGCTCAGGAGTTGCAAATTAAGACAGTGAAAGCATAGTAAGTAAAACCTGCTAAAACAATAAACGCATACTTCTTATTCTTATGTATTAGCTGGCATGGTATGTCAGATAGCACAGTGGGGTGAGAATCAAAACACTCACATTCTTCATTCTTCTTGACTTTCTCATTGAGAAATCACCTGGCCCTGACAGAACAATTTCCCTGTACTCTTAGGTTTCCCATTTACAGATTGGCGACAGGGAGGTCATGTGATAGAGTTGGAAGAAAACAAGATTTGGGGTTGGATATTTTGCTCTGGTCCATGTCCATCGGGACCCTCCAACAGCCTCCTCACAGGTCCCTTTTGCCCACTCTGCAGCCAGCATTCCCTGCCCCTCCCTCCTGCAGCCAGAGATCCCTTCAAAGCACAAATCTGACTGTCGCTCTTCTCCTTAAAATCTCAAAGATTCTCCCAGAAACTTCTGCGGCCCCATCTCATATTATGTCCTGTTCGAGCACACTGATTCTTCAGACAGGCCACCCACTGCTGCCGCAGGGCCTTTGTGTGCACTATTTTGTTGCCTCTTTTCCCTAAACTTCTATTCATCACCCAGCCTAACCTCCATATCACTCCACTAGAACAGCTGACCTCTCACATCACTCCAGTCCCCTGATGATATGCTCCTTAGGGACCCTGCCACCCTTAATGACATCAGAGAGCATGGCTATAACTCTACATTGGTTTTGTGATGACTTGTTCAACATCTATTTCCTTCTCTGGACTGTAAGCTCCATGAAGACACAGGCAGTAGTGTTGTTGTTGTTGTTTTTTTTAATTCTTAGTATGCAATTTTTGGTACCCACACAGTGTCTAGTACATAACAGACCTTCAAAAATGTTTGGGTTTGTGAATTTATTGCTTGCGTGGCTTTTACAATTGAGACAAGTAATAACAGCTTCTACCATAGGTGGTTCACCTGCTTTGAAGGATTGTAATCAAGATTAAATGTATCAACATGAGGATGACAAGCCACATTGCGCACAAATGTTAGTCTTTATTTATTATAGAGATCACTGAGGACAAGATGAGATAATGCCACATAAAATCTTCAGCTCAGCGGTGAGCTGGAAGTGATACCTCAAATGGAAATCTAAGATTGAAAGTTTATCTGTGAAAAGCTTCCACAAGAGAGAATAATTTGCCAATTGACAATATTCAAGATTGTGCAGTGTTTTCAATGTGCAAATTCATGAATTATTTATGTCACTTATTTTCTAATTTTGAGTTCAAACACACTGCCAAGAGGGGCTTTCTTATCGTGGTGCTCACTTGTGCTGCCTGTAGATTGCCTGTAGCATTCGAGACACCCAGGGTCCTCTGACACAGTGTGATTGAGCATCTTTCAGCTTTTGCCTGACCCATCATGGCCAAAACCTGAGCCTGCAAAACCACACTGACCTTGGCTTAGAAGACACTTTGTTATTACCTCACCAAATAAAGTGTCCCTGAAGAGAGGCATTGGGAAAATGCCTTAGGTGCACTATATCACACTATAATATATATATTTTATATGCATATACTAACTATCCTATATCATAAAAGCCTAATATGCTAAGTGTCTGACCGACTGTTGGACCAGTCGCTATGATGTGCACTGACCACCAGGGGGCAGATGCTCCAACTGGTAGGTTAGCTTGCTGCTGGGGTCCGGCCGATTGGGACTGGGTGAGATGGGCCAGACATGCCCTAGAGCCCTCCCATGTCCCTCCCTGGCCCCTATCTTACACCGGTGGGGTCCCTTGGCCTGGCCTGTGGGGATTGGGCTGAAACCGGCTCTCTGACATCCCTTGAGGGGTCTTGGATTATGAGAGAGAGCAGGCCAGGCTGAGGGACCCAACTGGTGCATGAATCTGTGCACCAGACCTCTAGTATACTATATATCCTATATAATAAAGAGGTAATATGCAAATTGACTGTCACTCCAACACACAAGATGGCAGCCCCCATGTGAACACAAGATGGCCACCATAAGATGGCCTGCAGGGGAGGGCAGTCAGGGGTGACCAGGCCTTCAGGGGAGGGCAGTTGGGGGGACCAGGCCTGCAGGGGAGGACAGTTAGGGGCAACCAGGCTGGCAAGAGAGCAGTTAGGCATTGATCAGGCTGGCAGGGGAGTGATTAGGGGGTGATCAGGTTGGCAGGCAGAAGCGGTTAGAGGCAATCAGGCAGGCAGGCAGGCAGGCAAGCAGTTGGGAGCCAGCAGTCCTAGATTGTGAGAGGGATGTCCGACTGCCACTGGGATCAGGCCTAAATGGGCAGTTGGACATCCCTAGATGGGTCCCAGATTGGAGAGGGTGCAGGTTGGGGTGAGGGACACCCCCCCAGTGCACGAATTTCATGCACTTTGTTATTACCTCACCAAATAAAGTGTCCCTGAAGAGAGGCATTGGGAAAATTAAAACATCTTGTTTGCTTTTTGAGGTGTTTTAGTGAACATTTTTGTAGGCCAGTGATGGTGAATCTATGACATGCGTGTCAGAGGTGACACACGAACTCATTTTTTTGGTTGATTTTTCTTTGTTAAATGGCATTTAAATATATAAAATAAATATCAAAAATATAAATCTTTGTTTTACTATGGTTGCAAATATCAAAAAATTTCTATATGTGACATGGCACCAGAGTTAAGTTAGGGTTTTTCAAAATGCTGACACGCCGAGCTCAAAAGGTTCACCATCACTATTGTAGGCCAACATGCTAGCTGATATGACATTGAGATTATCGGTGACTCATTTATTCAAATATGTGCATCTGTTAAGAAAGAAGCATTTTGTCATTTGTGCCATTTTTCAGCAGCTATGCTCTCTCTCTGTGACCGGCAGTCTCCTCAGGCTCACCATGGCCGTGATGACTGAGGCTGGGTTCGATGGACTACTGGTAACGGGCACTGCCTTATCTGGAGAGCTTCTCACCTCTTATGAGTTGAAGATCAGAACAGTCCTTATTTGTAATATCCTACAAATATCCTACATTTCAAAAAGGTCTAAATTTAGAATTAGGGAGGACTGTCCGGGGATTGAATCATGTGCCAATCAGTGCACGAATTTCGTGCCCTGGGCCTCTAGTTACTATATAAGATGTATACATTTAATGTATATATTATATATTATATTTGTTTATATATGTGTATATATATAATGTACATATAATACGTTGTATTTGTTTTTCTGACAAGAAATTTCAGCATCTATTGCTGTATGTACCACAGTTTATAGTTGTGTGTGTGTGTGTGTGTGTGTGTGTGTGTGTGTGTGTATCTAGCAAGGTTGGCCAAAAGAAACTTACAGAAATGGCTTGCACTTTTAAATAAAAAGTTAACTAAGTATGTCAAATCATGACCTACTGCCATAGTGCTAAAATATTTTTTAATGTTTTTCACACAGCAAGCGTGTAAGAAAAGTTTCATTGATTGCATTTCTAATGACAAGAAAGACCTTACCTTAAAATATTTTTTATGAGATCAAAAAGCATTTTTGTGATTTTGGCAAATGGATCTAACATGAGTGGCACACTAATCTTTATAAAATGGATATACTGTCATTATCCTGGTTCTGTTTTGAGGCTTATCAAAGCCTCCATATGTCATATGCTATACTCATTTCCCCAGTTCCCATTTTCCTTTAAAAAAAAAATGTGTGGTGGCTTTCCACCCACCAGCATGGAGTCCCCGTGAGAAGGCTGAGGTGCCACAGCTTCCTGGTAAATTGGCAAACACTGCCACTGTTGTAACTTAGCACTCCCACGGGTGACCGAGGGCGATGATAGCATAGTCCCTCTGGGTGCCACCTGTGGCGTGCTGAGTTTTGAGAACAAAGCATAAAATTCCTTTTTAAAAATAAGCTACATTTCAAAAAGGTCTAAATTTAGAATTAGGGAGGACTGTCCAGGGATTGAATCATGTGCCAACATGGTCTTTGAGAATATGTCTAGAGAAAGGTTTAAGAAAAAGGTCATGATGTCTTCCTTTGTATATAACAGTGCCTGCCTTGCTGAGCTACCAACATGGACCAGAGTCCAAGGGTCCGTCCCATCAAGGAGGGTAGACTTATTCTGAGCTCTCTACCATCCTCGTCTACTGCATTGTTAAAGTGGCCAGTGCCATATGGGAATTCATTCCAGCTTTGGCTTCATTAACCCCATGTTCTAACCAGTAATTAGTTAGGATAACATTTATAATATTTTTTATATTATTCTCCTTGAGTAAGAAAATCAGTACCATCCAAATAGATGAAATTAGCAAATATCCTAAGAGCACATCTCCTCTGATTAATGTTTAATTAAAAAGTGGACAGGAAATGCTAAGACCTCTGAGCAACTTGCAAAGCAAAGAAGAGGCATTTTGTCATTTGTGCCTTTTTTCAGCAGCTATGCTCTCTCTCCGTGACCGGCAGTCTCCTCAGGGTCACCATGGCCGTGATGACTGAGGCTGGGTTTGATGGACAGCTGGTAATGGGCACTGCCTTATCTGGAGAGCTTCTCACCTCTTATGAGTTGAAGATCAGAACAGTCCTTATTTATAAAACACTGGGGTTCTTCAATCTCTCTCTGGCATATCGTTTTTCCTCATTACTATAGAGCCGTACCATCAGTTACTCAGTTTGTAAATTAGCTTGCTCTTTAAATTTTTCTCCTTGCCATTGCTTAAGACCATTTTACTATTGACTTCTATCCTCCAATATGACAATAGCAAAGCAACAATAGTAATGATGACAATAGTTTTTATGTATAATAAAATTATGTACCTGATAATATAATTAATAAAAATTAAAATGTCTTGTTTGCTTTTTGAGGTGTTTTAGTAAACATTTTTGTAGGCCAACATGCTAGCTGATATGACATTTTGTGATTATCTATGACTCATTTATTCAAATATATGCATCTGTTAAGAAAGAAAATCATTGTGCAGACACTTCCAAGGGACTTTTTAAGTTACTATACTTAGCAAATATATTTGAAGATATTGCTTTTAATCAATGTGTGTCAATTAAAGTTTGAAACTTCTAAAGCTAAAATTTTATTTTAGTGATATTTACTTTAAGAGTATTTTTTAAGTTGTTTTTTTTTTTTAGTGTTAAGCATTTAAGAAAATATGTTTTTATTGATGTTAGAAAGAGAGGAAGAGAGAGAGAAACATTAATGATAGAGAAACATCAATCGGCTGCCTCCTGCATGCCCCCTACTGGGATGGAGCCCACAACCTGGGCATGTGCCCTGACTGGGATTCAATCCAGTGAATTCTTGGTTCATGGGTCAACATTCAACCACTGAGCCACACCAGCAAGATCTTTAATCGGACTTTTAACCATATAATTATAACAGTACCTTTCATTTGTCTAGTGCAACATATAGGTTAAAACACTTGCATATGTGATCCTAGCAAGTATTTAAAAATTACATAGCTACCTAAAACCCCTTTGAATTATGAGATAAAATGAATAGACAAAGTTATGCTTCTGGGATACAGAAGCTAAAGCATAAAAGGTTTAGTACCTTGACAAAGATCCCCAGGGTAAGAGAAGTTCGGAATGAGAAACAGAATCAGGTCTCTCTAGTCTAGATAGCTTCCTTTAAAAAAACTTCCTAGAGAGATTTCTGAACTGGGATAACTGTGCTTGGTATACATTTCCCTAAGGAATGTTTATTCTTTGCACTATAATTTTTCCAGACATGTTGCCTTAGAAGGCAAGTTTGACTGGCAGGAGACAAGAGATGCCTCACTGACAAATTTGCATGCAACAGGTGGCAGGGGAGGAATTGGGGGAACTTCATAAATATGTAAACACAAAGGCAAAGAGAAAGTGTATTGTTGGCAAGATAAATAGAGGCAATAGTGGGTTGAAGTAGAAGGAAGAAGATCAGGCTTTTCTCTTGAGCATTTTGGTTTTTAATTTCTTAATGTGCGTAACTCCTAGTTTGTATTATGTTGCTTATAGATGAGTAGGAAAAACATTGAGCAATTTTATATGCACAAATGGGCAGCTCAGCTTTAAAATAATTCATGATGTAACTTACTTTCTAGAAAACAGAAGTGCTTCAAATGTGATTCACGTTTAAGTTTGGGCTTTCTAGACAATCCTTACTCTAAGCCTCATAAATTTCCTCAGCTTCCTCAAATTGCTCTTTAAAAAAGTAGAAAAAAGAAAATAAAACTTGTTTGAATTTGTTCTACTGAAAAAATAATTAAAAGTACAGTCTACTGCAGGCAGCCAGTCCATTAGTCAATGTGAATAAAATCATTTTCTTGCATTAAACTTGACATCTTTCTTTTCATTATTTATAAGCATTCATTGCCTGCCAACAGTATATGGAGCTCTGCATAGATCATAAAAAAGAATTTCTGCCCAAGAGATTTTACATTAAATAAGATGAAGTAAGTGTATTTTATATAGCACCTGCCATACAATAGCATCTGACCAATGATCATATTTTTTCCATAAGGTATTTTAAATAAGGAAAGAGAAAAAGGTATGAAGATTTGTATAATCTGTGGAAACTAGTGTCTACCGTGTACCATGACCAGATTTAAAGGCAGGTTCTGTAACGCTGTGGGGGTGCATTACAAGATCGTGGATTTAAAAATGTGTATAAATGGTACTAACAGCAGATGACTGCTTCCTAAATCATCAAGAGCACTTCCCATGTCCTGCAGAGTTTGCCTTAGAGGTATGGTCACATGGCTGGGTGCATTTTACTGAGCTGAACTTGAAGATTTAGAGAAGTCACAGTCCCACAGTACATTGCAGCTGTCACCAGTGTGAGCTTCCTGCCGAGCCCCATGTATTTTACTTCTGAGGCATTGTTTGGGTCACTGTCATTTTCTTCATAGATAGACCTGATCAGCGATCAATGTTACTTGATCTTAACAAAACAGTTTCCCTTCATCTCACTGACCAGGCTTGACTAAGGCCATGCTGTGGTTCACGTTTAAGCCTGAGCTTTCTACTCAGTTCTTTATTGCAGCCTGATACATTGCCTCAGCTTCCTCAAATTGCTCTTTAAAAGAGAATAAAAAAGAAAATACATGATAAAAAACCCTGACTAAAATCAACTCTAATGGGAGAGGGAGGGTCAAATGGGAGAACTAACATTACTGACACCTACTATATACCAGGTACTGTGATAAACACTTACCATGCTGTGCTTGCATTTTTGTCAACATTAACTATGAAAAACATCTATACCTCATGTCCATGTTACTAACTGTAAATCCAGCTATTAAGATTCTTGGAGTCTTATTTTCCAACAACTGTTTGAATGCATCATCTACTGCACATGGAAAACGAATGGCCTATCAGTTCTTTTTTTGCACATACATATCTCTTTCATTGGCACATCTAGAAGAAAAAGAGTTGACACAGAACTAATTTCTCAATGACCTGAGTACAACCTCATCTCCCTAGAGGTCATGACCTTCCTTATCAGGCGACCTTCTAAGGTTTCAGAAAGAAAAAAGGCAAGACATTGTGATGCTTGGGCTGGTGAGTAGAGTGGCTGCTGTCATCCGCACTTTAGTGATCGGGCTGGGGCTCTGTCCCTGGAGGCAGTCACATTTCCTTTTAAAAGAACAACGAAGAGCCAATTACATGCTCAGTCTCATGAAGGTTTACCTGACTTTGCAGATACAAAGTCCCTCTGTCCTAAAATAGCACTTAGAGTGATGTCATGCTCAGAGAGAAAGGCCACAAGCTGAGGTCTATGGGAAAGGACATCTGGCTCTCTGGACACACCCGGGCCTAACCAAGCACATCTCTAAGATGGAAAAGGGCTCAACGTATTTGCTTGAAAAGACTAACTTTTAAGATGTGTGAGGCTTTTCTTCTCAGCCCAGTAACTCCCGATAAAAAAGGGTACTTACTACCTTTGGAACAGTGACTGCTCCACTGGGGCTGTTAAGGATGGGCAGTGCTTAAAGTTGCTTTTTAAAATCATTTCAAATGTTCATAGTTTCTTTTAACCTACCTTGCACAATTTGTACAGTTCTCTGGGGAGGTTTTCTTTCTTCTTCTTCTTTTTATAATAGAAAATCTTTTTAATTTTTTTTTAGATTTCTCTTTATTTATCTATTTTTAAATTTTTTGTTGATTAAGTTATTACATATGTGTCCTTATCCTCACATTACCCCCCCCCCCCCCCCCCCACCCACCCCACCCCCCCG